GTAGTCGCATGCTCGTTACATGCCTAAGCCCTTGCCTTGTGTCACTTTATTGTTTTCCTTAACTACTTTCATGATGTATAAGTTCCTTCTTGGATTTTCTAAGTGCATGAAATTTCAACGAAATGCCCCAAAATGTACAATAGGAGAATGCAAACAGTCGTCAACTCCTCCCACCTAGATTTTGTATGAGCATTCGGCAAAATCACGTATACGTCTGTCAACCCTGAATCACTTTAAAATGTACTATAAGGGGATGCGACTAGTTATCAAATACTCGCTACCCGAAAAGTTATATGTTATTTAAGACTGTGTTGCCTCCTTTTACTTGTAGTCATACAAAAATTCAATGCTAAGAAAAGTGCGATTGTGACACCAACTGTCCTCGCTGGCACTCGTTCCTCTTTTCAATCGATGTGGGATCTCACAATCCACCCTCCTTCGAGGTCCAACGTCCTCGTTGGCACACCCCCCAACGTTTGGCTTTAATACCATTTGTATCAGCTCAAGCTCACCGCTAGCCAATATATTATCCTCCTCGAGCTTCTCCTCAAGGTTTTTAAAACGCGTCTGTTACGGAAATGTTTCCATACCCTTATAAAGAATGTTTGGTTCCCCTCTCCAACCAATATGAGATCTCACATAGAATATGTTATCACCTACAACTCTTTCTTTCCACTACTAGGAACTTCCACGAAATGAAAACAGGTAGCATCATCATATGCTCAATATCCGTTGCCTAGTGTCACGGTCATGCTCGTCCAAGGCGTGTTGCCCATGGCCGCATGCCCATGACAAGCCCAACCTTTTATGTCTTTTCGTATTCTAATGTTTTACTTTTGTATTTTTAGGAAGTATGACGTTTCAGAAATATCATGTCTAGGCCTGTCAGACATGAAATGCCTCATAATGTACTATAGGGGAATACGACTAGTTGTCAACTCCTCCCTACCCAAGGTTATATACTGTGAGCCGTTGTTATTTTTCTCTTGCTTGCTTATATAACGTCTCTTTCAAAAATCTCTCTATGCCCTCGCTTTCTAAAACCTTCTCTTAAAACCGAGCCCAGAGGCTCGAGCATACGTCACTTGACCGTAGGTGACGCAAGAACAAATTGGCTTAGCTCACTTGTCGTTGGAAAGTGAGTGCCGCACAATCGCAAGTCCGCTGCCATCAAAAGTGCAATTGTGACACCTAACTCCCTCTTTTCTCTCCAATAAAGCTAATAAAGCTACTAAACAACACTCATCGGTCCGTTACCCATTTCTAACTAGTTTCAAAAAAAAAAAAAAAATTGTAAACATAGTCAAAACCCAACGCCAAAAGTATGGAAAAACATCTCGTTATATACTCGTTATGGTCAATCAGTCGCTCTTCTAGTTTCATCATTCAAAAACTGAAGGTTACCATCTATACCAACAAAATATAAATTTTTAACACGTTCCAGAAACCGAAAAACAAACATATCTTACAAAAACACACACAAAACACAAAACACTTGAAACAAACATCCTAAGACTCAACATTAGGAACAAAAACAATGTTGTCTTGAGGATAGAAATGACAAACAGCTGAGGCACCAGGCACAACATTGAGCACTCTAAACACCACATGATCACTATCCCATTCAGAGGTATCAACATGACAAATAGCCAACGCCTCAACTCTATCACCATTTTCCCCCACAACAACCACCTTATACAACATAGTATCACTCACTTGGCTATGACAATACATAACCAAATAAGGGTATGGCATCAAATGACAAGACAATATTTTTGGAGCCCAAATTTTAATGGGTTCCTCCAAAATCGTGTACTTTTGCAATTCTGTCTTGAAATTCTTAGGATACTTAGTGGCCTCAGCCTTCACGCCGCCGCTGTCGCCGCCGTCAAATCCAAAGACGCTGCCTGTCAAATGGTATAAGGAGTCTAAAGAGGTGGCGCAAAATTTGGTCTCTCCTTCCATGGGCTCAAGCTCGCATTGTGTTAGAGTGTACTCCATGGCCTTGGCTTGTGGGGAAGCTTCAGAGATGGAGAAGAAATTAAGAAGGTAAGAGAGATTTGTGGTTGAGAAAGGGATTTTTTCAGCTGTTTTTTGAGTAAGGGGTTTTGGGATTTGAGATATGTTCTTGATTGGGAAGAAGATTGGCATGTTTTTTCCGAGTTTTAGATCGTTGGGAGTGAAGAACACGTTGAGTGATGGCTCTTTGCTCGTTTCGATCATCTTGGCATGGCTCATGTCCGTCTGCAAGGTAAAAAAAGAAGTAAATTTTGTTAGGAATCACTTATGAGCATAGGCTCTCGCAGTTTTGTCGTGGGTTTCTCTCAAAAGGCCTCGTAACAATGTAAATATATTCTTACTTATAAACTCATAATCATTCTCTAAATTACCGAACGTGGGACTCACTCACAACAATTCCTAATTAAAGGGTTTTGTTCGATTTTTACGGGTTTAGAAGCTTACCTCAAGAACAAGAAGGAAGAGGAAAATGAGAGTCAATTTATGAATTGTGGCCTCCTCTTGCATTTTTGGTTTGGTTTGTTTGTGAATTGTGAGGATATTTCATGTGGTTTTCTCAAGAACATGATACCAATTTATTTAGGTTTGAGAATGATTGTATGATGGCATTAATGGGTGGTTTTTTTTTTTTTATTATTATTTCTTTGACGATGATGATGATTCTTTGAATTTGTTTATTGAGTGGCTTACAAAATGTCAACTTTGTTTACATATCATGTTAGTATACATAATAATTAGATAAGAACCTGATAAAATATGTATATATTTTGAAAGTGAGATTTACACTTAGTTCAAGTCGACTGCTAGTAGATTATGGTGTTTTTTCTGTTAGAAATCACGACTCTCCGTAATGGTATGATATTGTCTACTTTGAGCATAAGCTCTCATCGCTTTGTTTTGGGCTTCTCCAAAATGTCTCATACCAATGGAGATAGTATTCCTCACTTATAGACTCAATCCTCCCCTCGAATAAAGTACACTTAAGCCTCTCCTAAGACTTATGGAGCTCTCGAATAGCCTCCCCTTAATCGAGGCTCGACTCCTTTCTCTGGAGCCCTCGAACTAACAAAGTACACCCTTTGTTCAACACTTTAGTCACTTTTGACTACACCTTCGAGGCTCACAATTCTTTGTTCGATATTTGAGGATTATATTGACATGGCTAAGTTTAGGGCATGACTCTGATACCATGAAAGGAATCACGACTCTCCACAATGATATGATATTGTCCACTTTAAGCATAAGCTCTCATGGCTTTGCTTTCGGCTTTCCCAAAAGACCTCATACCAATGGAGTAGTGAGTTTAGGCTGTTATAAATTATAGATTCAACCCAAATGTTCTGTCTATAAATATTTTCAATTAAAAGAAATCTCACTAAATGAACCGAACTTAACTCAACCATAATTTTTTTTTTATTAAGTTAGTTGAGGCGGTTTGAGTCTTTATTTAAATTTTTATTTTTAATGAAACCTTTATTCTTTTTTCAAACATTTAATTAAAAGATTAAAAATTATATTTGGAGAGTTATTTAAAATAAAAGAGTAAAAATTAAAATAAAGATATGTATATATAATTGTACCGATTTCGTTCAGCTTAACCAAGTTTTAGGTTAACCCACGAATCAAACCCAACCCAACTGAGTTTTAAGTGAACCCACGAACTAAACCCAACTCATTAAGTTTTGATTAATTTAAACTCAACCAAAACAAATTCCTAAGTCAATCTAAACCATATGGGTTAAGTTAATCAAACCCAACCAAAGTTAGATACAATATGCTACAACTCTCACTAGATTTTGTTTCATAAATAATAATAATAATAATAATAATAATAATTCGCACTAGATTTGCTTCATAAAAATTTAATAATAAAAAAAATAATTATGGGGGAAGAGCTTACATGCCCCATAGGGCCCACAAATTATTGAAAAAAATAAAAAATTAACTTATGAATATAATTTAGGTTAAATTATATATAAATATATAAAATACCAAAGCTTTCCTCATAAGCTTCAATATTAAAATGAAATTAGACTATAATTAAAATTATTTTTAAAAATATTTTGAAAGTAAATTAGAACCTAAAAATGTGTGACGGTCACTTAAAACAAAAATCTATGGTGTTTAGCCTGATCGTCGAAGATTTGATTCGTTCTCAATAGCCATATGATGATTATCGTCGACGGATGCTTCTATTACACTCGTAATCTCTGAAAGATGAGAACCAACTATGTAGCATCTACATCGAGAATTCAAGTATTGTATACATCATTAGTCCGATCTTTTGTAAGAACTACCCCTAACAACGAACTTGCAAAATGAATCTATTTATCATAAAGAGATTCGTTGTTCTTGACCCTACTTCACCTTAACTGTTATTTGAACAAGTAAGAGTTATGTATTGGTCGAGTGGGGATAGTATTTCTCTTTTGCATGTCCATGAAGTTTTGAAAAATTCAATCATCTTAGAGATCGATAGAGAGGTAGGAATTTATCGAACGAACCGCGCTCCTTCGCATACGTCAAGACTTTGGAGAAAGCTTGAACCCAATTCCTATAGTGATGAATATAAGCGTAATTTTCCTATTTTCTTTTCACTTTTCTATTTGCTTGTTAGTTCCTCGACGATGAGATGCTCGTTGGTTCTATGGTTGCTTGTGACATGTCAATCCTCCAGCCTTTCAAGTATCTCGAAACCCAATCATAACTATAACGTTTATCCAAAGATTAGCTTAAAAACACTTCAAGACTTGCTTAAAAACACATTATTCGCACTATTAGTGCCCAACAAACAATAAGGTTTATTCAAAGAAAGGCAATTTGTAACCATCAATGAACTTTTTCTTTCGGACTTCTTCTGAAGCTTATAAAATTCGTTTGCTAGGGAAAGGTTTCTACACAGTTATAAAAAATGATTCATTCTCCTCCCTAACCGAAATGGAATTTCACAGACAATACAGTTAACTATATTCTAGAGAAACTTCCCACTAATAACACAGTAAAATAATTCATAGAGAATCTTCGACTAATAACACACTAGAAAGCATATAAAACTTACAGACCCAAAACTAGAACATTAATCAACCACACAAGTAAATATATAGATAAGGAGATGAAATTCCAATGGTAGGATTAGGCAGCTAGCCAAACTAAACTATCAGTAGAGACAAAATGGCAGACATGAGAAGCTCCTGGTTTAGTTTTCAGAACTTTAAACGAGGCATGATCTTTATCCCACTGAGAGGTATCCATGTGGCAAATGGCACTGGCTTTCACTCTATCACCATTCTCAGCCCCTAGTAGAATCTCAAACAGCCTATTATTACTCTCTTGGCAATGACAGTAAAAAATGGCATAAGGGTAAGGCATGCTATGACATGCCACCATTTTTGCAGCCACTGTTTCTCTGGGTTCCTCCAAAATGGTATAGTTTTGAAGGAGGATAGTGGAGTTGGAGAGACGTGAGCTAGTCAGAACTTTCAATTGGGTCTCACTTCCCAACATTTTTATAGCAAAATCCAGCATTGATTCTAAAGAAGTGGCACAGAATTTGGTCTCTCCATTGATGGATTCGAGCTCACACTGCTTCAGAGTATACTCCACAGCTTTGGCTTGAGGAGAGTCTCTTGGAAAAGAGAATAGAGTTAGCAGGTATTCAAGTTGTGATGTGGAGAAAGGAATGGATTCAGCTTCTTCTCTTGGCAGTAACTTCGGGGTTTCGGATGGCCTTGAGTAAGGGAAGTAAATAGGCATTTTTTTTCCAGCTTTCAAATCACTTAAGGTGAAGAAAACATATAATAAAGGATCTAAATGCTCCATGTGAGATGGTGCATGAACATGCATATGATTCTTACTCATCTTCTGATGGCCATCATCAACTTCCTTAATATGGGTGTTTGTTTGATCATTAATCTTCATATTCACAAACTGTTCTATGTCTTTTTCATAGCCATCTGTTAATTTCCTAGCAGCACTTTGTTGTGCAACCTGCAATAGGATTGATAATTACAACTTCTTTTGTTTCAGGTAGTTTGATTGCCCTTTCAACAAGCAAATCAAACAAAAAGTTTCATACTCAGAGAAATAGAATTGAGATTAGGAACTACAGAAACAACCCAGTTCCAAATTGTAGTAAAGATCGAAAATTTGATTATAAATCCATAAAACTTACCATTATAATGAGTAAACCAAGACGGATGAGAGAACAAGAAGCCATAGTTCTCTGGTGATGATCTGAAAGCAAGAAGAGTTTGGGAGTTGAGGATATCAGTAGAACTTTGGTAACAAGAAACACACGATTAAAATGCAATGTTAGAATTTTAGTAGCTTCATGTTATGTAATATACTATTAGTTTTTGACCTAAATGATAGGTGGTTTTTCTATATTAAATATAGCATATGATGCCATAGGCAAAAACTCATTTTCAACTTCTTAGGGATAAGTCAATGAATTAGCTTCTTCAATTTGTATAAAGTTTGTTCCGTAGCCAAGTGAAACGTTTGACTGTGACTTTTATTATTATTTGTTCTCTCAGAATCACTTGTTTTTACCAGCATTTGGTTGTGTGTATTGCCTCCTAGGGCCTAGACTATGAAGCCTCCATTGATTTATGCTTGGTGCTTCTTGATAGCTTCCCTTTAGCATCAATAATTTCGATTAAGTTAGATGATTAGTGATTAACCATGAGAGAACTATACATAAATATGATTTGTATCTCATTTTCGATTAAGAAAAGAATAAAGGAAAGTCTTGAACGACTCAACAACCAAGATGTTGATTGGAAACCTATGGCTTTTTCCATATTGGCATTAGCAAAAGTTAAAAGCAAAGGAAGGAGTTTTGATTGCACGTAGAGGAAACTTTGTCAATAGCATTAAAGGCTAGAGACCTAACCAAGAACTCCAAATATCATAGGCTTGATAATAGCAAAGAAAACGGGTGACAAGTGAGTAGACTCCAATAAATAAGAGTTGATTAGAGGCAAATTTATCCAAACTAAAATTAGAGATATACTCCATGGTTGAGATGAGATGATAAGTTGATCCAACTTACTCGACCCATGTACCAACTAGTTACATTCTAGTGAGTCAGCTTGAGTATGATTACTTGAAAATGATATAGGACGTGAAGAAGATGGGTTTGTGCTTGAAACTAAATGCTTTGAGACAAGTGATTGGGATTCATTCTATTAAAACACAGCTGAAATTTTAGTCTTTGTCTAAATCGTTGTTTCTTGGTTTTAGCTTCGAAACAAGAGTTGGGGGTGTGCTTCGGGGTTTATTGAGAATACCCGAATTTCCTAAACCTTGAATCAAGTTTGGTGGATGAGGTGGCGAAGACTTTTCATCCTACACGTTTGGCTTGAAGGGTTTTCTGTTCTTTTTTGTTTTTTTTTTGAAGTACATAATTTCCCATCCTTAAGCAGTTAAGCTTTACTATTAATGAGGGACGGAAGGGAGGCTGTTTTTATGATAAGTCTTTGGTTTTGAATTTGGGTTTTGTACAATTTTAACGACGGATATCGTAACATCACATAAAACGCGTCTGGTAGGGAGAGGTTTCCACACGCATGTAAAGAATGTTTTGTTTTCCTCTCCAACCGACGTGAGATCTTACAATCCACCCCCCTTTGGGACCTAGCGTCCTCACTAGCACACCGCTCGGTGTCTAACTCTCATACCATTTGTAACAGCCCAAGCCCACTGTTAGCAAATATTTTCCTCTTTGGAGTTTTCTTTTCGAGATTCCCCTCAAGGTTTTTAAAACGTGTTTGCTAGGAAGAGGTTTCCACACCCTTGTAAAGAATACTTCGTTCCCCTCTCCAACGATGTGGGATCTCACCGCTATAGTTTCTGTCAAAAGGGAACATAAAGCAAAAGGGAACAAAAGCCAGATGTAGATGAGGAAGCCACCATTAAAAAAGCACCTAATTGTCACAAACTATATGTAATAAGAAACAGGACTAAAGTTGCGTGTATATTTTCTCAACCACTCATAAAAGGCAATCATACTAATACAATTTTATACATACCCAACGCTAAATGGACAAAGAATAACCCACCAAATACACTTTTAGGAAGAGATACAGTAACTAAGAGCCCCCACCAGCTAAAGAATTATAGTCAAGTCTCATGATTAAGACAAAAGTCAGATGATAAGCTATTTACTCTAACAATGTGCTTATAGCCTAGCTATAGATTTGGTCTATACATAACATGAATATGGATTGAATAGTTAAAGGCCAAATGATTCAAAGCTGGAACATAGAAAGGCTTTTACCTCTTCCTCGTGTTATTGTTCTATCGGTGTGATAGTCCACTCTGATCTTGAGAAGGCCGTCTCTTGTCCTCCTCCTACAGACCAAGAACTCCGCTTTCGGTTGAAGCCTTACTTTTGATAAAGCAAAAGTGGCCTCTTAATAAAGAGGAAAAAAGAGGGGCGGGCCTTCCCATTACCTTTGAACGTTTGAAAGTAGAAATCTGGAGAAGTAAAGTGATAATAGACATAAGTTATACACAGTTTAACGTCCACTGCCAACCCAATTAAATCATTGAGTTGTAACAACCCACTGGGGCATTTTATCGAACAGTTGGTGTGCATGTGGGAAAAAAAATAAGCACAATATGTGAAAAAGGGTAACAATCTCCAGCTAATGAATTACGTGCTTTACTCAACTAAATCGGGTGTCACATCGATTCACAAACAGTAGTCAACGACTGTAAAACGGAAGAATTTGGGGGGTGCCCCCAAAATCTGTGGCTGCATTATGATGTTGAATTTCTCTATGGTTGACTTCGATCATAATGGCATCCCAAATTCATCATATAAGCACGTAAACATATTTTTGTCACTTGATTGCCGGCCACTATTTCTAAAGTGATATCCATTATCAACAAAAACAAAAAAGAAATTGAAAAAGAAAAAAAAAAAAAAAAAAAAA